GTTTCGTCAAATTCCATGTCCATATAAAACTCTGGCACCGCGTAGTGTACAGTCTGCCCAGCCATCACCAGGTCGATTGTCCTCACCATCAAATCCCAATTACTCCAAAGTATTGACCGGTTGTTGTCCCATGACGGCAATACATGGGGTATTAGGTACACCATCAAGTCGTATGACTGAGCTGTGAGAGCAAATGCCACAATTAACACAGCAAGCACCATACTTTTTGATTTTAGAAGTTCTTTTTCTTTAGATTCTCATTATTATTTTATTAATAAGTTATATAATAATAATCAGAATCACAAAAATATTACCACATTAATAAATTAATTAATTTATTCAAATAATTATTATTTATAATAATTCTATAATTACTTACTTATAAAAAAATTTTATTGAAAGTGAATTTTAAAAATATTGTTCCAACAGTAGTATATAAATTATGTGGATTTAGGGGGACCACATTTTATCTATATTTTATAATACTTTATTAAAATCGCGAGGGACGCGAATCTGAATTTTCCCAAAATTCGGGAATATAGTACCAAGTTTATTTTAAAATTATTTTTTTTATTTTCCCTAAAAAATCAGCACAACACAAGATTACAGATTAAATAATTTTTATCAATTTACTAATAACTATTCCGAAGAAGATATTTTAAATTGTTTCACAATTAAAGCCGGAATTATTAAATCAGCATCTACTAAAATTAATAACAAAGAATGTAGAAAAGAATTAATTGCTATGGGTATTAACACAAGAGATTTATATTTACATTTTAAAGCAAAATTAGAAGCTCAATTAAAAAGAATTGAAGACAATAAGAAAAGTTCTATTAAATTAGAACAACCATTTTTAACAAAAGTTTTTAATAAATCAAACAAAACTGACAAACAAACTTTTGGTTTAATTAATAAAAAAGCAACATTAATTAAAGATTTAGATGATGAAAAAGAACTTGATAAAAAGAATTTAGAATGGGCTTTGAATAATATTTCTTTTGATAATATTGAAGACAATGATGATTTGATGAGAGAAGACATGTATCAAAAAATTGATGAAGAATTAAAAAATAACGCTGAAAGAAAAAAATTATTTTAATGAATTAAAAGAAAAAGAACAATATGAAAACAACATGAGAAATTATAATGATATAATAGAAGAATTAGAACATCAACAACTTTATAATGATAATATGGAAGAATATAACGATATGATAGAAGATATTAATGACAATTCTGAAATTAATATTAAAGTAACATATGATAAAGAAAATAAAATAATTTATGCTGATCTTAGATGTGGTTTTAGAGAAAAAATAAGAAGAATTCAATTAGTAAGAGAGTATTTTAACGATTTAATTAAAACCACTTCATCAACTACTGATATAGTTTATAATTATCACCTTAGTCAAGATGGATGGAAATCTTATATGTTAAATACTCAAGACGCAATTGACGAATTTCTTAGTTCAGTATCTGAAAATTCTATGGATTTTATTAATAAACAAGAAGTTGATGATGGTATATATTCTACGTTTTATGTTAAACAAACTATTCCAGAACCACTATTCTTACTTGAATCAAAAATTTCACCATACTATTACGAAGAAGATCTTATTCATCCATATAAAGTAAAGGTGGTTCTTTCTTCCCATACAGATATTAAGAAGAATTTGAAATATTTGGAAAATATCTTGCTAAAGCACAAATATTCAGTTCATTATTTGATAAAAATGGAAAGATTAGAACAGAATTTGATTTAGATTGTTTCTGTTATTCTTTAAAACAAGCTAATGTTGACAATGAAACTTTAGAATTAGTATTAATTCATTGTAGAGGTAGATATCAAAAAGCTAAATCGTTGAATGAATTATGTAAATCTGCTCATATTAGAATAAGAATTAATAGAGAATTGACTGACAATAAATTAAAAAATAAAAATTGTAACATTAATTATTATGGTTGTGAACTCAAAGATGCTAAATATAATTTAGAAATGTTTTTATATCGTGATTCGGTTAAGAAGAAAGATCATTATATTTAAAACATTGATATTCCTATTATTTCGTTCTATCTTAAGAATAGAGTAAAAATGAATAAATGGGCAATTTATCATAATAAAAGTATAGAATCTATGTTTAATAAACAACGATATAGTAAAGATAATCAATGTTATGAAGTTAAAGATAAAAATAATAGTTCAATCAAATTATCTGATCTTATTCTTTATATTAGAGATCATAATAGATTTGAACCATAGACTCTATCTGATGTTTTACATTTGAAATCGGATTTATCTGAATATGTATTACAATCATTAAATACACTTGAATATCTTCCTTTTGAAACAAGAAATATTGAAGTAAAGGTAAATAAATGTAAAGAAGTAAATCACTCTAATTGGTATGCTGATTTCGAAGCTAGCACACAAGGATATCATAATCATATTGTGTTTGTTATTCTAAAAGAGGTGAAGAAAAGATTTATAATAAATATGGTAAAGATTGTGCTTATAATTTCTTGTGTGATTTACCACATAATGATGTTTGTTATTTCCATAATCTTAAATATGATGGTTCATTCTTAGCTAAAATGGTGTTAATAGATGTATTAATGAAGGTGGTAAAAACATGCAAATGACATTAAAATTCAAAGGTAAACAATTAACTTTTAAAGATTCTCATGCTTTAATTTCTACATCATTAGCATCTTTTCCAAAGATGTTTGATTTATCTAATATTCAAAAAGAAATTTATCCATATAACTATTTCAATGAGGTTAATATTGAAAAATAATATGGGTACAATATTAGAAGCTGATAAATATGAAATAAAGCCATGCACTGAAGAACAATTTGAACTATTTAGTGAAAATATTGATAAAATTGAGAATTGTAGAATTTATGAATTTCATTTCGATATGAAAGCTTATTGTGTTTTCTACTGTAATCAAGACGTTAGAATCTTAAAACAAGGTCATTCTATATTTAGAGATATGTGTTTAGAATATTTAAATATTGATGTCGATAAAGTAATTTCAGTAGCTAGTCTAGCTAATACTTACTTCAAACATAATGTATATTCAAAAATACACAATTTAAAATAATATGGTGGTAAAGTTAGAGAATTTATTCAAGTAGCTATTTATGGAGGAAGATGTATGACTAGAGATAACAAAAAGTGGCATGTAACAGAAGAATTATATGATTATGATGCTTTTTCATTATATCTAAGTGCTATTAACAGATTAAAATTAGCAACTGGTTCTCCAATTGTTATTACTGAAGACATGTTTCAAATTATCTACTTATCAGAACATTTAATGGAAGAACAACAATTAGAACCTTCAGAATTAAAATTTATTTCAGCATTTATTGTAGATATTGAAATTACAAAAGTAAATAAAGAATTACATTTTCCATTGATTGTTAAAAAGACTAAAGAAGGAAATAAAAATTCTAATGAACCCTTTAATATGAGAGTAGATAATATATTATTAGAAGATCTTATTAAATATCAACAGATTGAATATAAAATAATTAGAGGATATTATTGGACTGGTAATAAGTCTGACTTATTATCTAAAGAGATGGCTAAGTTGTATAATTTAAGAAGAGATTTCAAGAAGTAAGGTAATCCTGTACAAGAACCATTCAAATTAATTATGAATTCATCATATGGTAAGACTAATCAAAAACCTATTAAAACTGATCTTGTTTATAAACAAATATCTGTTAAAAATAATAAAGGAGATATTCAATATGATGCTGATAGATATTTAAAAAAGAACTCGTTATTAGTCAAATCATTTTATGATGTTGCTGAAAATATTAGATGCTTTGAATGTAATAAAAGTTTTGATGATTTCTTTGTTCCAAATCTCATTGGTGTTCAAACTCTTACCATGTCAAAACGTATTATGAATGAAGTTATGTGTTTAGCAGAAGATCTCAATATTCCAATTTATTATCAAGATACAGATAGTATGGATGTATTAAAATCAAGAATTACTGAATTAGAAGATGAATATTATAAGAAATATAATAGAGTACTTAGAGGTTCTGATATGGGACAATTTCATCCAGATTTTGATGAATTATCTGGAGATGTTACTAGTATTGAATCTTACTTCTTAGGTAAGAAAACTTATTGAGATAAATTATCTAATGAGAAGAATGAAGTCGCTCATCATCTTAGATTAAAAGGTATTCCAAATAATTTATTAAATTGTCAATATGAAGAATTGACAATTTAATTATATAAGAATTAAATTGTCTTATAAGAATTTATAAGAAAATTTAGAATTATATAAGAAACTATATGATGGAGAATCATTTAATTTAATCTTTTACAACTTAGAGCATCATTTGAATTTACTAAAGATTTTAAAATTAAATCAAGATCTCAATTCTGTAGAAATATTAAATTTAATACTGAATTGGGTTCATTTTAAAAAATATAAATGTCTCTTTCAAAGGAATAAGAATTATCTAAATTTTATAATACTTATAAAGATAAAATATACATATAATAATAGAGATAAATTATTTGGGGTTCATTTTAATACTGACTCAAAACATAATTTAAAAAATTTTTATTCTTGTATTTATAATTATTTTAATATTAGTAATAATAGAATACAAAAATTATTAGATGATATATATGTTATATACATTAATAATAAACGAAGTATAAATACAAGTATAACTAAAATGAAAGTTCCAACTGGTTATCATGAAATTAACAAATATTAAAATACACCTAAATCAAAAGATAAACAAATAATTCAATCTACAGAATTAGAATTAAATGCTGAAATAAGACCACAACCAATTATTAATCAACATGGATCAACTACCACCATAGCTACTTATCCAAACACAAATAATAATAAGAAAGATGGAACAATTAAACAATTATTTAATGTAGATATGAATCAATATGTTTTATCATTAGATGAAAATATATATACTTATTATAATAACAAAGATATAATTTATTCTAATAATTTTAAACCATCACCACCTAAATATTCATTTTACAATTAGAATATTGCTTATAAATTTGTTGCTTCACCTAATACATATATGTTCGATATTTTATATTTTTTTGATAAATATAAACGAGTTTCTCAACAAAAATATGATAAACAATTTGTAAAAATAGATTTTGATCACAGAATACATAAAAATACTCTATTAAGCCCATATCTTATTGGCATTAATGTTAATACTAGATATAGTTATGTTATTGAAATTAAAGATAAATCTACTATTTCAATTATTGAAGGTTTTGATAAATTATTTGAACAAGGTTTAATTATGAATAATTTAATATTTGATGGAGAAAGAGGAATATCTTCTTTAGAATTTGGTGAATATGCAAATAAACACAATTTTAAACTATTTGTTACAGCACCTAAGATACATACAAGTACAGCATTGATTGATAGATTATGTTGAACTATTAGGAGGTTATACATCAAATATTATATCTTAAATGATGATGAATATAAAAATATAATTAATTCAAGATCATTTCAAAACATGAAACGAAAAGAATTACTTCAATATATGACTAAAATATGTCAATTATTTAATGAAGGAGATAAATCTAAAATCACTCCAACACCTACTACAGAAGAAGTTTATAATTTGGTTGAATATTATAATAATAGTTGTCATAATGGTTTAGTATAAATATTTCAAGAATGTAAAAAATTATATAATTTTTATTATATTGATCCAAAATATATAACACCAAATAAGATACAAAATGATAAAATGTTAGAGAGAATAATTATATCATATTGTCAACATTATAATCAAAAAATACGAAATAAATTTAAAAAATCAAAATATGATTTTGACATTGATGAAGATGTTATTTTATTTGATGTTGAAGACGGAAATTTAAGAAAAAATAATAAATATATTGATTCTAAAAATTGGAAAATTGCCTTTCCATATGGAAATAATGATGAAATTTATAATGAGGATAATGATAATTACGAATCTAAAATTATATCTAGATATTTATGAGAAAAGACTTTTAGAAGACATGATTTATAAATTATTTGACTTCATATTTTTATTTTTTTTCACAATAAATGAGTAAAGAAGTATATGACGCGGGATATGGCATAACAAAATTAGCACCAAAAATTGATAATTATGGAACTAAAAAGGGATATGATAATCAAGATGTTATCGATTTTTCAACTATGGAACCAGGTGATGTTAGTGCTAAATATCTAAATTTAGGTGGTACAGATCTTGCTAGTGATAAATATCAATTAAAATACAATAAAGAACATTTAGACCCAAAAGCTTTTCGTGTTTACTGTGCCAATAATAATTTAACTCCTTATAAGTATGATTTAGATGGAGATCAAATAGATGATTATGTTGGAGTAGACAATACAAATCATATTAAAGCTTTTAATGAATTTTATGTTTCAAAACCAGGTAATTCACAAAGACCATATCAAAAGAAATATTATGACCAATACAATTAATTTCAAAGAAAAGAAGTTCCTTATTTAAATTATCTAGGATTATTATCAGTCTCCGATAACGTCGAAGGATATGCAAGAGTTGGTCAAGGTAGTGGATTTTCAAAATTACTTAATACTACCGATTATAAAATTAGAGAATAGTTATCTAAAATTTTTAATCTGAATATATTTCAATAGGTAGTCAAGTAATTAGAAATATAATTAATTCTATACTTTTTGGAGAAAATATATTATCACCGGTATTTAAAGTAAAATGAAATTTCATAAAAAGTGATAATTGGTATAAAAAATTACTGATTCGTTAATGTCTTCATTATTACTTGGAATTATTAATAATGAAGATAATACAGTAATATTTGAACAAATAATGAAAGGTATTTCATCATTTTTTTGCAAATGGTTATGAAGATTTTAAAGGATTGGTAGATAAATTAAAATCTAAAATTCCAAATATCAACACAATTAAACCAATGAGTGAAGAAGATTTAAATCAAAATTATACAGATATTATGAATAAGAAAAAGAACAGTATTCTTATTTCAGAAATGAAAAAATCATCAAAAGAAATTAATACAACAGAAGATATTGAAGAACTTAGATCAAAATCACAATATAAACTTGATAAATAAGTAACTAAAGAAGCATTAAAAGCTGGTATGTCAGTTAAATAAATTATATAAATATATGTTTATTTATTGTTCTATAAAATGAGAAAAATATACATGAATTTACATAATAATAATAGCAAAGTAATAAATACGTATCAATTTGAAGTTGAATTATTAATTGAATTTGTTTCTTTAATAACAATAAATATATTAACACAATTGCTACTAAATTCCATAATTCATTAAGTCATATTGATTGTGGAAATATTTTAAGAAGTGATTTTAATTCAAGTAATGATTATCCTTCACAAGACGGATTTATAATTTTTGCTAACAGTGATAATCAAAAATCATTTGAAATCAAAGACAATAAACGAAAAATAAAAATATGGTTTACTGATTACAAAAATAATATAAACAATATTGATTCAGATTATTATTTCATTGTTCAGTTAGAGTTAGTGTTTTGAAATAGATTAAGACATCTTTTCTAGAATAATAATTTTTATAAACAGTACTTGATTCAAAACTGTCATAAATTGTAGTTGTGGTAGTTCTTCCTAATGAATTAATAATATATGTTTTATAATCAGTAAAATTAGATTCAGCTTTGGATGACATATATATATTTAGTGAAGAACCTTGACATATTTCTGTAATAGATGATGTATTTGTTATTTGTAAATTTGGTTCTATTAGATATATTTGATTACTATCTATAATTATATTATTCCACATTAAATATAGATTACTTCCCTAATAATTAATACTGGATAAAATAAATTATTAAGATTACATACAATAAACACATATTGGTTTAGTTGTTATTGATGTTAA